ATTTCCTAAGTTTCTACGCCCAAATATCAAAAAAAAAATCGCCAAATTGGCGAGAAATCGCCAAATCTGGACACTCTGTTTGGAAAAGCCATACAGGCTAAAGGTCTGATTATGCATACTTCGCATAACTTCGCACAACCATTTGTACCAGTGCATAAAAATTTAACTTAAGAAAATGTGAAGCGATATCTAAACTCAACAGATCGCTAAGCTTTTAAAAGTTCTGCTAATTTCTGATCAATGGAATACATGCAAAGTACATACAAAGTACATACGAAATTACAGTTTGAAGTTTATGCGAAGTTGTGCGAAGTTATGCGAAGTATGCATAATCAGACCATAACGTAATATTCACGCATGCCTCCAATTTAGTGTAAAAAATTTCTCATGCCCATACAACTTGTATGGGACCAACCGAAATTGAACGGCGTGCGTATGAAGCTAACTCAATTTCCAATTTTTGTTCTGCGTGACATTTTGATTTGACGTTTCGCTCAATGACATCAAATGCAAACGCACGCAAGCCAATTACGGGTGACGCAAAAAAACAAATTCGACGGCGTGCATATCAAAACGCAAGCCGCGAATATTAGGTTAGCCTGATAATTAGCCAGTAACAAAATTCAGAGAATCAGGAAACTTACTATCCCAAAGAGGGTTTTACTAAGTTTAGCGCGAACCGGAATTTGCAGCAATTTGGATGCTTCAGTGCAAGTGTACAAGTTTTTGCATAGTGAATAGAACTATTACCAATATTTCTTTTGCTTTTCTATTTTCTGACGGCGCGCACACGCTGCTGCAAAGTTCAAGCATCCCGGATCACCTAATCTGCGAAAAGTACATGAGTAACACATACATACTTTCGAATGAACGAATGAAAACGTTATTAGCGCTTGCCAACAGGGGCAATCAAACCATACACAAAATAAAATGCTTCTGTATGTCAAGAGCAGTCAGCCATTCACTAAATAGAAACCTGCTACTGAGTCTAGCAAACCGTTCATGCTTGTCTGTACACCCTTTTTATGGTTTTTAAATTGAAATGATAATATCTCCTTATTACCAAATATTATCTTGAGACTTTATTGCTCATTTGCTAGCATTTAAAATACATCGCCAGAGAAACATCGATATATCGATGGTTTCCGATGTTTTGCAATTTGTTAATTTCTAGTTAAATTTAAAGCAATATTGAATACTTTAATAATTATGAATGTATTTTCCTGTATTTTATTATCCTTTCTATACCCTTTCTATTATTAGAATCAAAATGCATACCATCGTAAGGTCGTTCGGGCCTAAAGATCCTAGGCCTGATCTTGTTGAAAATAAGGGGTGTTTGGTTCTGTTTTAACAGCTAGGTTATTAGCATTCACAATGAATCCAACAATTGAGCTTGGGGCCGTTTTTTATGAAAAATGTTGTGGAAAAGCAACAATAATTTACAAAGGTAAGAAGTTATAGCTGCTATTTGGGAGATCACCACATTGAACCGATATTATCGATGTTTCAAAAACATCAATGCATCGTTTGCATCCCTAAATTCAGTGCTCTTCTATACATACATTCAAACATAAGCAGGTCATTAGAAATATTCTATCAATGCATTTCCACGAAATGTTTACTACATTCTAGCAATTGCTGGTAAGTCCATTAAAAAGCCCACGCATAACGCAAATCCTCTAGCCCTATCGCAGCCTAATAGGAAGCACACAAGTACAGCGGGACAACAAGCACACATCCATACGTTTTGTACAGATGTACATATATGTATAAAATGTATGTGTTTTCGCAAGTCTCTAATTTCCATTTAACTCACTTTTTTGTTTGTTTGTTTTGTTTTGCCCGGCCTCTTCAGTTCCTTCATCTGGACTTGAAAATTTGTAGCCTCTGCTGTCTGGGCTGTTATATTACGCATGGTTCCCTTGGCGATGCTCTTTTGTCGGACAGTGGTTTGACCTTCTATGGAAGCCGGTAGACATACAAGTTTCAGAACATGTACTCCTTGCCGTATTATCCGGCTAGATACACGCGAATTTGTGGGCTTGTGCACGCCAACGGCACACCGCCGACCATTCGTAAGTGTATTGAAGGCAGCGCCACCTGGTTTATGTGCTATCTTCTGGCTTAGTCCAGTCTAGAACCCATATTGAAGAAATTTTTTTTTCTCGCGGTGCCAGGCTAAGTGGTGAAACTCACCACAAAACCACAAATGGCACATTTTACGATATTGGAGATTTCAAGGTATGCTCGAGGAGACCAGGATCCGACAATTTGTACTGCTTTCAAAGATCTGTTCGTTGCCAAGCAAATTGCAGCAAACATAATTCAATAAAAAGTTCGTATCGTTGGGCACCTTCCACAAAACTATTAATACACTAAAAGTAAATTGTCAATCCACCACCTGATTAAGCTGCAACTTAAATAATACAGGTTCGTGTATGTATATACGCCTACAACTTTGCGTATAACTTCTTTTAACGTATTGGTCTATGATACGGAATCAGCTACTTGCCACCCAACTATGAGGAAAACTTCAAGGTCAAATAAAGTAATAGCCAAATTGCAGAATGACTCGTTCCACCGTGAATCGCACAAAGACGGAAGAACGTGCCGACAAGTTTTCGATTCCATGCCGATTATGCAAGGAAAATCATGGGTTTCGACTCTGTCCCCTCTAGAAAGGCAGCGGGCGGTCCTAATCCACCGTTATTGCCCTAATTGCCTGTCGCCCATTCACCGTCTGGAAATTTGCAGTAGTAAGGAACGATGCCACAGATGCGACGAAAAGCATCATACTTCGCTCCATATAGAGAACGCTGGCGAGCTAAAGCACAATAATGCCGTCAAGGACGGCGAAGGCTCGGACGGGGCGCTGTCCATTCACGTTACGGAGCTAACGAAATCGAGGCAAGAGAAGAAGAGGAAGTCCTGCAACATGAGAGGCCAAGGCGCGACTCGGAAACCAGTCTCTGCCTATCGCACGGGCAGCGCGGCGCTGGAACGAGTTCTTTCAGGCTGCCTGCCCCGCTGCAAACACAACGCGCGGGTGGCTCAGAAACACGTTCCTTCCGACCACCTCTTCAACGTAATGATGGCAAACGGGGCGGCGCGCAAACCCGTTCTTTCTGCCCGCCTCGGCGCCAAGCATATCGGTATGCACCGTATCATCGACGACAGCAAAAACAACAACCAGCTGAAAGAATGGCTCTTGCTATACCCGAAGGTTTCCGGACTGGTCGTGCTATCCACAATGGGATAGCAGCGCCCATATTCCTGGCATTCGAGGCTATAGCCCCGACTCCAATCGTCCGAATTGAGTCTGGTGGACGACTTCCTTGATTCGCGCATTATGCGATCCTTGCGCCCCCAATTCCATCATCGACGCGGAACTGGTACGCGAGCTCCAACTCGAGCGCCGCAACAATGGGCGGCGCCAGACATGCTCTCTCGCGTTGCGTGGGAAATATGAGATCGGGGAACGGGTAACCACCCAGGCAGTCATCACCGCGCGATATAATCGCCTCAATCCTGCCAGAAACATCGACCCAACAGTCGCCGCACCATTTCCATTCATGCGACTAGCAGACCCCAAATTTTACCTGGCGAAACCGATTCGGCTGACCCTAGGCGCCGAAATATACGCGCAGATAATGTTGAGCGGCACCGCTCCGGTCACAATCGGAAGTTTACTGGGGCGTCAATCTTCGGGCTAATTTTATCTGGGGCCCATCAGAATTGAGCATATATACATATATAACTATAACAGTGAAATATTTTTTAAAAAAATTGAATTTAACATTAAAGTGCAATGAATTGAACACCACGTCTTTTATGAGTAACCTTTCTTTTTCGTTGACAGAAATCTAGAAGAAACATTAGTCCGGATATGGCGAACAATGATCCTATACACATATGGGCATTCCCATGGTGCCGCACGTGACAGTCGTACGATTTCAATGTGATACAAAAAAGGAATACCATTTGTTTTCTTTAACTTTTTTGGGCCTTTGTATAGCACATAATTAGCTCTATATTTAACCGAAAAATGAATTCAATCGAACTGCTTGGTCCTGAAATATAAGCATTTAAAGAGAGTGACGTTACGTGACAAAAAATGGAAGTTGATTTTTTCTTTTCTTACAAAATCGCAAAACTCTGCGAATTGTGGATGGCTATTTTCATGAAACTTATTTTAATATGATTTGGAGCAATTCTAGTTGTTTTTAGAGTTTTTTGAATTAATGCAAATTGTTTCAATTCTCTTTTACAACCCCAAGTGTGAAACGTGACGTGACGTGGCGTCACGTGACATAAATTTCCATCGTTATATTTTTGTTAATATTGCTTTTAAATGAATTTTTAACGCAAATAAAACATGTATTTTATGTAGAATATACTTTATATTTTGACTTCAGCGCCAAGTCAGGGTCAATTTATTGGAAATCTATGATTTATTATGTTTCAACCACATACGCCAAATTCGAACCAAATCGGACCATAAATACGGTTTTTCGAAATATCTCGACCTTGGCACCACCTAGGAAGACCATTTTATGCAAACATGATTCTACTTACATAGCCAGTATATATTTTAAAAAGCGGACAAATCGGCCCGTAAATACGTTAGATATACAACTTTTATTTTTTTTGTCGTGGTGGACCTTCCGCTGAAAACAAGCTTACAATATTAAATGTAGTATGGAAAATTCCTCATATTAAGTTATCAGATTTCGCAAAATTGGAAATGTATAAGATAATCACTAATAAAAACCGCATTCATATTATATTTTGAAGTTGGGATTGTCATGTACATAAATCCTTTACTCCCAACCAGCACAAAAGTTTTATTGAATGTAAAATTATCATCTCAAAATGAAAGACCGCAATATATATGTATCATAATTGGCCTACAAAAAGCTAAAAATAATAAGGACGGAAATACATTTGATCATTGTGATATATCTAATCTAAAAGTTTATCTAACTTCTAATTCATAGGGATGATTTGAATATCCGGTTCGAAATGGGTCAATATGCTATTTTACATGATATGTTTTTAAGATTTCAACAAAGCTATTATATGCGAGATCCTCAACCACTATTGGATATAGATAAATATAAATCATTTGCTCAGCTTACTGTAATCGATGACACTTATCAGAACGAAACTGTACAATCAGGACCTATCAACATTCGAATTGGATTCGATACCGAAGTTAACAAACCTACTCCAGCTAATACATCAGCATACTGTCTAGTAATTCATGATCGCTTAATATAATATTTACCTCTAACTGATGAAATTGAAAAAGTTATTTAAATAAGTTTCATCATACTTAATTTTCGTTTTATTAATAAACCTATAATACGATTTTTTAATATTATCAATTTCATAATGATTGAATTTTTATACGTATATAAAACTATTTCTAGCAATATAATTTTTATGATCAAAACAGCCCTGTTTAGCAGTTAGCTGTTTAATAGAACAGCCCTGTTAGCTTCAATTAAAAGTATAGATGTTTCATTAATGTCTTTAAGAGTTGAAGTTAAGAAAAAGGCGATATCTTCAAGTTCATAGGAACCAATATGTATTTCAACACATTTTAATTGAGTCATATTATGAAGTAACTATAAATAGATTACTAAAATATATATGTATTTAAATATGTTCTTTATCAATAGTTTATCATTAATATATTAATAAAGCAATGATGAAGTCAGGGTTATTCCTATGATTAACGCAAAAAAATTTTGAAATGTATTTTTTATAAAATATAATGAAAACTGTTATGATTCATAAACATATATATTAATACTAAATTAACATAAAACAATATGTATTGGTGTCAACCCGTGAAACCTAATAATAGATATTGCCATGCTCAATGGAAAAGTTTTAATATTATTACCAGTATATTAAGAGATAAAACCTTAGAGATACAGTAAAACCCGCTTAAGTACCTCACGAAAAATGTCAGCTTTTGGAACTTAGGCGGGTTGGGTACTTAAAAGAACCCGATTAAGTACCTCGATGCGGGTACTTAAGCGAACATAATTATTGACGTAGTTACGTATTTTTGTTAACTTACATAAATATGTAAATCCTTGAATAAAACATAAACATTTAATGAAGTACACGTATTTATTTAAGATACTTATACTTCACTGTATTTTTTACTGCTGAAGGAGGGTTTAGGTCGCAAATTTTATGTTTGGCTAGATCTCAACAAATACCTTCAAATCTTCCATAATTTCAATTTTCTCATAATCAACATGTTAAAATAGAAACGGTTGGCGGTATGATTGTAATAGTTGGTACAGATTATGAAGGTGTTCAAAAAGATGTAAACGTAAGTAGTTTTAAACCGACATGCGTTTTTAGTGAAATTAATGTGTTAGCTAGGCGGTATGCTGAATAGGATATAATTTCATCAAATAAGCGGAAACTCGTTAAAAAGGATGTTCAAAATTTAGTTAAAGATAATACTATCGATGACAACACTAACGATTAGGGATGAAACGATACGAGTAAATAGAACTACATACTCGATACTTTAAGTTCGATACCAAGTAATTTTGGCATCGATACTTTTGAACCATGTACTGAGTAGGTATTGAAAAATGTACTCGTATCGAAACCCGATACCAAGTTAAAATTTGCTGCGAAATTTTTTCCTCTACGTTTATGCCTGATATGAATCGCCCTGTGCTTTTTGGCAATTGCCAGCGGAACCCGTGAGAAGGCGCCAATCAAGGCGAATTTATACAAGGTGGTGTTAGTGGCGAATTTAGATTTTCGCCGCGGTACTTCCTAATGTAAAATAATGTGTTTGCTGTAAACAAGGTGAATTCATATTACAACAAACACATAATTTTGACATTAAGAAGTAACGCGGCGAAAATCTAAATTCGCCATTAACACCCCCAATTGCTTGAGGGGAAGTGTTAAGTGGATGAATGTTCAGTACAGACGTTTTAACGCGATGTAAAAGTCACTGAGTAACTCGTATATTCTTCGCGCTGTAAACGTTAGCAGGCAATACTAAAGGGCCGTTTACATAAGACTTTTGCTTCGCTTTGCTTCAGAATGCCGCTTTGACAGATAAGTTCAATACACGATTTTATGTAAGTCTTGCTAAATAGTAAGCGAGGAAAGCAAAGCGAAGCAAAATCATGGCAACTCTCAACTTTTGCGCGCTTTGGCAATCAGCTGTTTACATGTATCTTTCATTTTTCATATTCTCTTGCTTGCATTTGCATGTAAAGACAAATAAAATTATAGTTTAAAAAACTAAAACCTCGCTATTATAATTTCCATTCGTACTGTCATCAGGTATGTAACTTGAGAATAGAAATCGCTGCATCTTTTAGGCGCATCAATATTACATAGTTACATCCCGAGCTAATAAAAGGGAGGTAATAATAAAAACAAGGTAAATATGAATTATTATTGCTAGCATTATCGCATATTATTATATTGTTGTCTAGTTTACACAGCTAAAATATGGAGGAAAAACTGATTGAATCGATAAGAACCCACATCTGCTTAAGGACAAAGCTTGGCAAGATGTCTCGAAAGCTGTAGTAATACCTGGTAAGGTATTTATTTTAATTTGTGTATGTATGTGTACATAACACTTAGGGTCTGATTATGCATACTTCGCATAACTTCGCACAACCATTTGTACCAGTGCACTAAAAGTGTAACTTAAGAAAATGTAAAGCAAAATCTAAACTCAACAGATCGCTAAGTTTTTAAAAGTTCTGCTAATTTCTGGGTAATGGAATACATACAAAATACATACAAAGTACATACGTAATTACAGTTTGAAGTTTATGCGAAGTTGTGCGAAGTTATGCGAAGTATGCATAATCAGACCATTAGTAAATGTATGCTTTTTAATAATAGCGCAACGTTGCCAGCAGCGATGGAAGTCGCTGCGTGACAGATTCGTGCGAGAAGTGTCTGGACAGAAACCAAAATCTGGAGCTGCTGCGAACGAATATGCACTTGAGTGGTGTTACTTGGAACCCATGATGTTCCTAAAAACGCAAGTAGCTCCTCGAAAGTAAGATTTTCATATTACTATAGATACATGAATGCATATATAAGATCTGTACTAAGAAGATATATATGTGTATGGATATTTGTACATATTTTATGTTTTATTTGCAGAACGGTTACAAATTTGCAATGGAGTGCTGAGGAGGAAGAGGAAAGCTGCTGTAGCTCACCAGTGCAAGTCTCGGAAACGGTGGTGGTGTCGCCAAGCCAGTGTTGATAACTTTTGAGTTTCAAAAAGGACAAACCTTGGAAAAAAGAGCGTTTTACTGCACTAAAAGCACTACATTTTTTTTAATCAAAGGATACTCTTTTTTCATAACAGTTTGTGGTAAATAAAAGTAAAAAAATAAACACTATTTACATGTATAAATAAATACACATTCATGCTTACGAAGTAATACCGAAGTACTGCATATTAAAACTGGTACATCTGGAGAAAAAACAATCGAATCGCAACAAACGAAATTGAATTTTAAAGGGGAAGAGTAATACTTAATGATACCCTAAGTAGAAATGAGCGAAAAAAATTGTTGTTTTATAATATAACCTCAAATATTGCGAAAAACCGTGTTTTTACGCTTAGAGGTTAGGATATCTCAAAATTCGGACGTGGTAGAGAAATTCTGCAGCCAGAATTGGATTCAGCACCGAAAAATCTACAAAAAACCGATGCACTCAGGTGGAAAAAAAAAGATAAAATTTTTCGAACTGTGTAATCAACCAAAAATCAAGAAAATAAAAAAATAAATACTTAATTTATCTGCGTGCTAGCATTTTCAATGCGAATATAATTTAACAAGAACGCAAGAACATGGGTTTGCAACTTCATCTTTTTATCAATCATGGTTTGCATTTTAGTGCATATAAATTTGTAGATTCTTGTAAATTCAGAAATTTTAGTTCATAAAAAAGCACTAAAAAGGGCACTAGGCACTAAACCATTTTTTTGGCGTTTTAATTTTCAAAAAGCACTAAATCTAGTGCTTAAAGCACTAAGTTGGCAACTATGCGCCAAGCACAAGCCAGAGTGCCGGGGAGACTCCAATAAAAACGAAAACTGGTGGCAAGCGACCGCGATTGGAATCTGAGGCCAATGAACGCTTCGATCGTTTCTGTGGCGCTGTTGAAAAGTTTGTCGACAACAAAATGTCCGGGGATCAATCCAGTCGTAATGCTGACTTCTTCGCGGTGCTGGACAGATATTTACAGAAGCATTCAGAGGACCTACAAGACCAACTGAAGATAGAAATACTCAACTTGGTGCACTACCCGCAATAATTGTTTACTTATTTTAATTGCCGGTTTGACCAGCAATTTAAATTAAAATGATTTTTTATTTTCTGTCAACTTCCATAAAAAATTTAAATAATTTTTCACTTAAATCGCTTTCGTGAAATTGGCTGTAAGTGAATTTGAATTTAGTTTTTACTGAAATTTTTAGTTTTGAAGACTGATATTTTAACCGACTTAAAAAAACGTTATCATCGTCGGAATGTCGTACTTGTTTACCTAACACATATGAAATATGAAATGTTATTTATTTATTAGTTATATAACTTTTATGTAAACTATATCACAAAAAATGTGATACATACAGTAACTCACATACGGTGATATTTTCATGTTAAATATTAGTTAATTTCTTTTCAAATATGGCTTAAAATTTAACAAACACATTATAAATCCAAGTCAATAAAACGAGAAAAATTAAGAAAAATTCTGGAAGGTTTCATCAAAGTTGCAAACTTCTTAAAGCTGCATTTCTTTATTCATTCTGAACGTTTAGAATAAACTTTTTTGTTTACTTATTCTTTAGAACGTTCCTGATGATATGTTAACGTATATTTCAAACGCATTCTGTTTATTCCGGCTGTGAAATGGGAATGTATAAAGCAAAGCGGGGCAATTTTTGCTCGCGAGCAACGCCAGCGTCGCAGTTCGTATACGTACCAGGGATGATAAATGAGTTTTTTAGTTTTGTACCAAATGGCCAAAAAAAGTGTACTAAATAAGCCGAAAAAGTACCAACATTTAAAAGACCAGACATACATAGTTACATATACATACGTTTTTAGATTTTCTGTATAAAAATCATGATATAAAACATTACGTGTCGAAGGTGGAACACATAAGCGCAAATCACTTGTTTGAAAAGGCCACCAAAACGCCAAGGTAATCAAGAAAAGCATACGAGTTATACTTATTAACAGCTAGTAATACAAAAATTAAAAATAAAACCGTTGCATTTAACGGAATGGAAGTTTTATAGAAATATTTTGCAAAATAATTCCTTTTATAGAAATTAACAAGTTGATAGCAGTGTTCTCGTACCTAAAATCTTGCAAAGTGGGGGAAATCGAGAGCGCAAAATTACACTGAGATCTGCCAATTTCTGCTGGAAAAAATTTTACCTGCGAAAACTTACAAGGAAATGCCTGCTGACCACAACATATGTTCGTGAATAAACAAAAGAAAGGAAGAAAAGTTTAGTTTAGTTAATTTACTATTAATCTCTAATTTTCTAATTTTCGTGCGTCAACTATGGCTGCCGTATAAAATTATTCAATTGTGGATGAAACTATTTGTTGGCCGGAATTTACGCAAAATATTGAGAAATATACCAAAAAAGATAATAATGCTGAAAGGTTCTGACCAAATTTGTCAGTTGATCGTTAAAACGAAAATGGGATAATTTTAAAGACACATTTGTAGCTATTTCCACTTAATTTTTGTGAAACAAGGAAGGGTGCTTGGAGGAGATTCTTTTATTTTTGACTCTCTTATGATGTGGTATCAAAAATATTTGTTAGAAATAAACTTACTTACCTATCAGAAAGTCAGAATGGCGTAAGTTTTACTGCGTTCAATAACTTTTTCTGCTATTTTAGTTTTCCCCTTAATTTTACTCGCTATGATTCTT